CTGGACTTTGTTTTTTTCCCCTTGAAAACGTTTATCTTCTCCTCCAAAAACTTCTTTAGTTCTCAAAATAAGAGTGAATTTTCTTCACAACAGTATGTACATGAGAATATTGCAGGCACATTAAAAACTTTGGGTATGTCAGAGGGAAATTAAAATCTTGCATACTATGAAAAATGAAGTGACTTGCTGTAAGGAATTAAGAATATATAGTGTGATGTTCCTCAATGTTTGGTATCACTTTAATGCAGTAAATAAGTCGGGAAATATAGTATATGACTCTGAAGTGTGTTGCCTAGAAAACTGAAACAAATTGGCTTGACTATTATAATCAAAGAATGTTAAACCAGAGAGTGGTATGAAGTGGAGTGCAAACTAGTTTCAGTGCAGGACTTGAGCATTGTCACACTTTTCTTAATGACTTGGATGAAAAGATAGAGGAAATGCATAGCAAATGTGCAAAGGTCACAAAACTGAATTTGTAATATTTGAGAGGCAAGAATAAACAATTCAAAAGAATTTTGATATGGTAGAATGGGCTGAAAAGAATGGAATTACATTTAAGAGAAACAAATCCAAAGCCATTTATTTAGGAAACAGAAATCAAATATATAGACACAAAATAGAATGAGGATACTAGCTTTGCTAACAGCAGTATTTAGGCTTATTGATAGAGGTATATTTCCCACATCACAAGACATAATAATTCCATTTTGTTCTGTGATGGATAGACTCCATATTGAATATTATGTTCAGTTTTGAGGACTCACTTTAAGGAGACAAACTATATCAGATTTAGAGAAGATAAGTGATGATGACCAGTAACTAGGAACTAAATCCAATACTCTAAAAGATATTCAAAGAATTAGGCATGGCTAGCCTGAGAAGATGAAGTGAGATACATGATACCACTCTCCAAATACCTGAAAAGACATCACATATCAGAAGATTATAAGTCTGTTGCCTATATTTACAGAACAAAAAATAATGAATGAAAATTATAGGACATCATATTTTGCCAAATGATATCTAAGAAAAATCTAAGAAAAGAGTAATGCATTCCCTTCATAGGATGCACTGAACTTGCTGGGGATACTTTATTTTTGATTATTGTATGGAGCAAGGGTTGATAAACTAAACTAAACTTAACTAAATGATCCCTTATATGATTTTATACATTTATTTACATAAACTCAAACATGAAATCAGTATGCATCATTCTCTGATTAAGAAATCATATTAGAGTTTGCTGTGATACAGGCTCCGTGTGCCTATGAACTTATTAATTTAGAGCAGATTATTAAACCTTACTTAATGTGCAACTAATACAGGACAAATAGTGGGTGTAAAGCTCAATTCATCATTTCTTTATTATTTATTTAATTTTACTTTGATTGCATTCAACGCCAAAACAACCCTGGACAGTTCACAATACAAAACAGAATGCAGAAAGAATAAGACAAATTTTAAAAAAATACAATAAGAGAAAGAATACAGTGACAATTTGAACAAGAGTAGAAGCAGACATGGTTTATCATAGAAGGGACTACATTAGGGCATTTATAAATGCATGTATAGATGCTGATAGTAACAATAACAACTACACCATAGGTTAGGTATACCATATCTAGGCTATGTTTTTCAAATAATACAGATGAAGTTGATAGATTACTTTTACTTTAGAATTGTGGCAAAAAGTAGGAAGAAGAAGTTCTGTGCATGTCACCTTGAATTCTGTACAAAAAATGTAGAACTTAAATCAAAGAAATAAATAATACATTATGGCAAGAAACACAGCCATAACATAAATTATCCAGACATTAACAGAGCCATCTACTGGCAACTATTAAAATGTGCTAAATGTATTATTTTGAATTAAGGTTCATATTCAAAATTATTTAAGTCAATGCAGAGAAACCACTTTCACCTGTGTTTAACGAAATGTATATTTGTCCATTAAATTGGGTTATTGATAAGTTATAAACTACCAGTGCAGGTTTTTTTGCATGCCTTATTCAGTTTAATTGTAATATCAAGATCCTAATTTCTAGGAAAGAGTGTATATCTGTTCAACTAAATTATCCATGCTTATATTGTATATAGATAGATAAATTTATTACGGTTCAAGTTCAGTACAAAAGTAACTTAACCAAGCAGGATCCAAAAATACAATTAACAGTTTAGTAGCCTAATTCATGGAGTCCTTCTGTTAACAAGGCTGGATACGACATACCTTTATGGCTAAGGCATGCAATTTATCTATTAATGAACATATGGCATTACGCCAAGGTTGCTTTTTTGTAAGGTTATGCACATAGTCATACCGTAATTGACAAAGAAGAAGAGAAATGCAAGTTAATGGCAAGGAAAGAGAATCCATAAGAAGCGACCTGTTAAATCAGGTTGCGATTCGTTAAACTGATTAGTATTTGGTGTTCATAGAGTGGCCAAACAAATGCATTCTAGAAGCTTACATATATGGCCAGGAAAATTCCAACCTTTTCCGTTGTCGCTTCCTAATAGCTGATATATAAAGCATGTTGCCTCCGATTCCCTGCAAACTCTGTTTTTTCAACCCTAGAATTTTTGATATTCTCTTGCTTCAACTGAGGATGAGGATGTTTAGTAATTTAAACATGGGCTTCTAAGCAGGATAAATCTATGAAACAATGAGGAGAACCTCAAGTAGATTCAGAAAATATCACCTATCAGAAGTGTTCTGGTTCGGGTCTAATTTGGTCCTGTCATTATGACATGGAAAAGGAGATAATGTTAAACTTCACTGGTGTAGAAGTCCCAAATAAAAGTAAGCATGATAGGCTAGTCAACTAAAAATCCTGACATGACCTAAATATTGTCTATCGGGAAGTTCTTTTCTATTCCAATTTCTTCATCCAGGAAGCTGAGTAAGCTAACATTATTCAGAGACTGGATGATCTAAAAGAGGCACTGACAACAACCCAATTCACAACAAAGCCTCTATTTAAATTGGCTTCACCAAATACTTAAACTTGTGACAATATAGTTACCCAACAATCTACTGTTTCCTCAATAACAAAAAAAAGTATTGTCACGCAGGCTACAGCAGAAAGACAAACTGTTCCATTGTACAGTGTCCTTTAAGCATGCAGATTCTAAGGATACAACCTATCTACCACCTTCACTAGAATCAGAAGTGCCTTTAACATCTCCTCACAAGATGACCCCCAACTGTATCCCCTCCAAAACTGACATAAATTTATATAGGTGATAGTTGGGGATTCTGCTGAGATAATTGCTAAAGGTGAAGACTCTCTGACCCAGCTATCAGACGACGACCAAAGGCAGAGACATGCCTCAGTGCCCCACATAAACAGTGGGGTTACCCTTGCTGTTGTGGATGATGTCCCCATAGTCTCACAAAACTTGCCTAATTCCTGGTTAAACGCATCTAATAATCAACCATATTTAGTTTTCGGTGACAACATCACCTATCATAACTATCTTCCAACAAGTGCTCCTACTGAGAACGCGGAAGGCCAGACTGTTCTGATATGATTTTGTTTCTTTGTTGTATTCCCCATTTCCTCTGATTTCACTGGTTTATTCCCATATATCAGGGCTTTTCAACCAGTGGTACGGGTACCACCTGTGGTACATTGGCACCTGGCAGGTGGTACGCGACCATCCTAGAAAAGTGGTAGCAGGGGAGGGGAATGAGCTGAACCGGTGTCAGCACCGCACAAGCTTGAGCGAGAGATGGCTGGAGCTGCAGGGCTTTCGGGGCTCAGTGGAAGTGCCAGGATCAGCGCCAGGCTCAAGCTGTAGCTTGGCGCTGATCCTGGTGCTTCTGCTGAGCCCTGAAGAAGCACCAATCAGCTGGAAAGCAGCACTGATCCTGGTGCTTCTGCTGAGCCCTGAAGAAGCACCAATCAGCTGGAAAGCAGCACTGATCCTGGTGCTTCTGCTGAGCCCAGAAGAAGCGCTGATCAGCTGGAATGTTGCAGCATCTCCAGGGTCTTGTGATTTACATTCAGATGCTTGGCAACTGATTCATATTTATGACGTCACAGTGTCCCAGGGTCATTTGAAGTGACCAAAACCTGCTGCAACCACCCAGCAGACGGGGGGGGGAATAAAAACCAAACACCCCCCCACCCCACCCCCGCTGCCAATCCTCAACAGAAATGCTCACAACAATGAAAACCTCGGACAGGAGGAAGAGTGCGACCAGGCAGGCAGGCAGGTGTCTTGCTCGGCTGTGCCTTGGGGGGGCACTTTTTTCAGTGCCATTGTAATTTCAAACAGTCACTAAACGAACTGTTGTAATTCGAGGACTACCTGTACTTCATCACTTTGTTCCTTTTTTTTTTTTAGTCATCAAGTTTTTGACACCTTGCTAGGTGACTGGTGGTACTCGGATGTTGCCATATCCTAAAAGTGGTACAATGGGTGAAAAGGTTGAAAAGCCCTGCCATATATAAAACTACCTGATTGTATACTTGTTTCTTCTGATGTAGGCCATATCCATTATGATTTAGGGTAGATACCTCTTGACTTTTGACACAAAGTTTTAAAACTTCAACCCTTGAATTTTACTTATATTGTAACTAATTATACAAACTAAGACTTCATAGAAATGTTTTTATCATGAAAATGCTCATCTTCAACCTATTAAAAGAGAAGGTTAGAGTTTATTTAGTTAATTGATAGCAATGTACAACTGATTAGAAATCCCTAATTCGTAAAACCCAGCGGATTGCATAAATTATGGAAAACTAGATTTTTCAGAGGCCATTTCCTCGGGTTCCCAACACTGCAACTTTTCTAAACTGGAAGCCTACATTTCCCAAACAGCAGTTCTTCCCCGAGGGTCCACTTCCGCCTAAAGAGCAATGCTTTCTGGGACATGTAGTCTGTGCCTATGTATCAAACGAGACGGCCGCAACGTCGGATTCCCACCAGATGACGGTAACACAGTGTACTGTACTATTTGGGCATGCAAATTTGGTTTCCCTTTCCGGAAGCAGCGCCTCTAGGGGGATGAGTAACGGGAGCCGGAGTGGGTCAAAAGAAGCCGGTGGTAAGTCGAAACAGGATTTTTTCCCCCTTTTTGGTGGGCGGGAGGGTATCTTCCTCGCCTTAAGCTAGCTCCGGTGTCCTGGCTGCGGGGTGGAATTCGAATTTTTCGGAATTCTCTTCGGGAAGGAAACAGTCGATTCTGAACCCGGAGCGAGGCTCCCGGTGCGTGGAAGAGTCTTTTGCAAGGGGTGATTAATAATTTCGAGATCGTGGGGGCTCGGATGGATCGCGGGAGAGGGAGTGACATTTCCCGCAAGGGAAAAATGCTATTTCCAAGAAAGTTTTCTTTTCCTTATTCAGGAAAGGTCTGAAAGATTGGTGGTGTGGTTTTTTTTTTTTAATAGTAAAAAAAATCACTTTTATTTTGCAAGTCAAGGGGTTTGAAGTTTTGATCATCTGGAGACTGAGCTGGGGGCAACGTGTAGCAATGGAGCAAAGGCGAAGGAATTCGTGTGTGAGTGAACGGGTTTAATTCAGGGCTGTGTATAAGTATTGAATTCAATTGAAATTGAATTCAGTTGAAATTGAACTAGAAGATCTCCGATTTTTCTGCAAAGATGGTCGGGTTTGGAAATTACAGAGCAGTAATGCCAGGAATGAATTTCAATTTGAAGCTGGGGAAAATCCATTTGGTGTGTGTTTTGTTTTTGTTTTTAAATGCTTTTGGGGGAAAAACATTGGGAAGTGGCTCGATCTCATTTAGAATGCTTGTTTGGCAAGACACTAGTAGGACATGGTTGTTTTTCTTCATATTCTGCTAAGTGCTATGAGTTTATTGCCTTTAGGCATGAACATTCAGCCCTCAAATAAATCAAAGCATCAGCAAAAAATGTGCTGTTTTAATGCAAAAAACACCTCACCACAAACCTTCCTTGAATTTTGGGAGAAGTGGAGCCAAGGAGACATTAGATTTATAACAGTTTGCAAGTTCTCATCTTCGCTGGATCTTCACAGTAAACTAACATGAACTTGTATTAATAGGACGGAAACAAAGTATCACATTTAGAGTACAAAGAATATAAGATTAGTTGGCTTTTTTTAACGTTAATTCCTGCTGATTATGTATTAGATGGGCTTCTCCTTTCTTTGCTCTATTGACTTTCATTGCAGGATTTGAAAAGAGAACAAAACAAAGGCCTGACAAGTCCAGATTCAGTTCCTACTATATCTTTTCCTTAAATCTTCCATTATTTGAACCCAAAAGTGAATTAGCATTCCAAAAACTGGTTTTCCCCCCTGTATTACACTCTATAATTTTATATATTGTGTCTCAAATGTGATGATTATTATATACATTGGACAAAATGTGCTTATTTTGGGTCTAACGTGTAAAGAGAAAGTTAAAATTAATTATAATTAATTATAAAGCTTCAGGACATAAGTAATGGCTACTCAAGTTAAAAAGAATGCACTGCAGTGATCAATGTAATCATATATTGTAATCATACAATGTAATCAAACGCTGCATACTTGTGTTTTCCAAGATAACGTTATTGAATCCAACAGTACTTCATTTCCAAGGAAATGTATATAAGATTATAGGCTACTAAGTTATAATTCAAGTCTTGTCTTCTCTCATACTAAGTGCTCTTTCTCCTTTTTGAAGGTGGCTATCTTGAATTTTTTTTTAACAAAAAGGATGCAGTCCTCCCCAAAATAAAATTGAATTAATTGCCTTTGGTGTCAAGATTCAGACTGACTTTCAAACTCACTTCTGTTAAGTTTGCATATAGATCACCTTATGTATGATCTGCTTAACTCCCAAACTATTGCTTGCGTATTACAGATCGCATACATATTGCATATTGCTTTGAGAAGGAAATTGGAAGGCATTATCAGTCGATAAGTTCCTGAATAAAACAATGTAGGCAAAACGCTCACACTAGCTGGTTTTTTTTAATCACTGGATTTTTACCATCAGTTTGGCTATATGGAATTTTTGCTACTCTTAATAGCCAAGTCCAAAATTGTTGATTGCAGAATTCTGTAAGACATAAAGGAAATTATACTTAAAGAGTACATAAGATCTAATCACGAGGAGTATACTGATCATTTAAATTAAAGAGTTGCAAATGCTTTGCTTGATTTATGATCTAATCTATATAGCTGCCCTCTTCAGTAAATGACTTGTATATCATTAATAAATAAATAATAAATTAACTACAAAATACTCAAATATCCAAAGGAGCAGCATACAAACAAATAGGTTCATCCAGGGGCTTGTATCCCTACTAGACTCAATGTCTGTGGGGGGAGGGGAGATATTCAGTGCCATTTGAATCAACTCATGATTTTCACTTCAAATTTTTACACTCCTAAATGACTTGCCAGGTTACTTAATAGACCATCTGTTCTAGATCATTATGAACAAGTCTAGATATAAAACTTTGCAAATCAGGTTCTTCTAAATATACGGGTTACTGGGGCATGCTAGAAATGGCCGTTTTATGTTTCATTCCAAAATTGCAGAATTCATCTCCTTTCTCTTTAACATAATCTTTGGATTACTTGAATTATGGTTTGGATCACATGATGTTTAATATTGTATTATGTATTAAAGTATGTTAGTTCTATTTCTAATTTTAATTGGATTATTATTTTGTAAGTGGCCAATCCCATTTATTAGCAAATTGGGATAAAAATCTAGTAATCAAATAAGTAAAACATGATGATTACTTTCTCCACTTTTCTTAGATTACTTTCTCCAGTTCGAGATTTGGACATTAGACAGTTTAGCTGAGGAATCTGCTCCGGCAAATACGAGAAATGAGGAGTTTTCTTTGGCTATTCAAGGCTTATTAAAAGTTCTCCAGACACATTTTGCACAACTGGAAACATTAGGCTTGAACCCATCTAAGGAATGGTGAAATCAGGTATTAATCCTGCAACATTTTCTACAATAAAGTTAATGGAACTGAAAACATATTTAAATTGGTAGGGAAGAGGAAAATTTCTGCACAAGATCACTTAAGGCTACATGAATTTATTTCACCTCTGAAAATAAACAGGAAGAGTTTCTCAGGCTGCTGACTTGCAGACCAGCGATCAAGTTGATGTCCTTGACAGATGTGAAAAAGGCAATAAAAGAACCTCAGCAGAGAGACAAGTGGTTGCCTGCTATTAACACAACAAAACCACGAATATACAAAAGTCAATCCTCCCCCCACAACATTTTTTTTAAGATGCTGATGCATTTTATGGCTTTCATGCCATATGGTTCTGAGTAAGAGACACTTCTTGTGCCTTAGCAAAAGGACCAGTCTTTCGGAAAAGTCATATCAGTTTGGTAAATATTTGGAGTGAAAGATAACTTAGCAAAGTAGAAAGGCTAGTTCCGATACATATCTGGATGTGTGGTAATTTTCATTCTCTTAAAGTTGTTTAGGGTTAGTCTTGCAGAACAAAATGTTTATGTTTCCGTCTCTTTTTTTTGTATTTCATACTTCCTTTAGGCACGTTCTTTTTATTTGCATCTCAACCTGCTTCATGCAATTTGGATTGGGATAGAACCCAACTTTTTAAAATAGAGCATTAATATTGATAAGCCTTGAGTTTTGCTGTGAACTGAATAGGCATAATATAAAACGGTGTCCCTTGTACAGCAATTCAAATATTTTCCTCTGCCTTCCAATTAGCTTTTAGGTGATCTCAGTTGCACAACCACACATACAAGCACACTGGATAGTTTATTGTGGGGTAGAGAGCAGTTGGAGGACATTATGTTTTATTTAGCTTTGCGTGATAATTTTACTGTTGTATATTTGGAATCAAATGCTTTTTATTATTTATTCATAGAACTTACAATTGCTTTTCTCTATGCAAATGGATGTTCTTGAGATTTTATTTCCCTTTCTGGTCATAATGGATGTAAGTACCTAATACAAGCATCCATTTCTGGTCTTACTCCTTTCCTTTTGCAGGAACAAAATCATTAAGGTCCTTGAGATAGTGATGGCTATTCCTCATGAATCTGAATATGGAGGCTACTGGAACAGATGAAGTAGAGAAAATAAAATCAAAGTTTATATCTGCATGGCATAATATGAAATATGGTAAGTGAAATGTAATAGACTTTTTAAGTCTTACTTAAAAAGTTAGCAAAATAATGCAGGCTAGCTTTTGCTGACCAATAGTATATTTACTCCAATGACTGAAATATGCTAACTCTGGTTAAGGTTATTAGTGCCGGTTCAGGTGAAACACATCAACAAGAGAAGGAAAGGGAATTTGTTCAGAAAAGATAATGAGGGAGAAAAATAGTCAATTTCATGATTTAAGTTTGAATGAACTCATAAGCTAGCCACGCGAGTAAAATATTTCAGTTCTGCTTTTACTTAATTACAGTTTAGTGTCGTATTGAAATTAACGCTAGGAGCTAGTGGAGAGCAGGAATCCCCACCTTTAGGGGATGGTGAATATGTTTGGAATTTTGGAACAAATTGTGGATGCCGTCACAAAATGGCTGCCAAGCATGACATAAAATCAGTTAGAAAGCACAGATTTCTCAGAACAGTCATTCAGCACTTGGTATTATGCAAAATATAGGTAAAATCAGAATGAACAAGAAACTTGGATTGAAATAAAAATGTAACTGTAATCATACTATAATAAATATGATTAGTCCACATGTATTTAGTAGTTGCAATAAAAAGTTAATTTGGAAAATCTCTATAGGCCATGTCTAAAGTTTTCAGAATCAGATGTAGCCTTTAGGGCAGTGGTTCTCAACCTGTGGGTCGGGACCCCATTTGGGGTCGATTGACCATTTCACGGGGGTCGCCAAGCAAGGCTGTCCGCCATTTTTTTGTCCGCCATTTTTTTTGCCCGCCATTTTTCCCCCTTTTCCAGCGGGTGCCTTACCTCCCTTGGGCTGGGCCAGCTGGTGGTCGGCCTGCTCCGTCTCTGCCGCTTGCCAGCTACGCCTCGGCCGGCGCAGGGGGCGGAACCACTCATGTGCGGCGCTCCCGGGCAGGGAAAGTCCTCGACTTACGACCGGCTGGGTAGTCCTCGACTTACGACCGGTTTAGTCCTCGACTTACGACTGGTTTAGTCCTTGACTTACGACTGGTTGGGGTCGCGGCATTAAAAAGGTTGAGAACCACTGCTTTAGGGCTTTTACTGATTATTTACCATTGTGAGGATTACTATTTTGCACTCTTGCAATCCTGACACGTTCTTAGTTCTAATCATAACAGGAATTTGGCTATTTTTGAAGGCTATTTTTATGTTCACACAATATTCATTAGGTGGAAAAATTAAATTTGATTCTTGTTGTCATAAGAAATTAACACTTGGGTACTAATTGAAGAGAATATTTATAGCTTAGGGTTGAGCTGGTGGAGTCTTTGGTGCTCTCTGAGTTTGATTGTTTCTTGCAATAGTTTCATTATCCAGCTAGACAACATCTTTGATGCTAGAGGGGAGTGGGGTTTGCTCCTTGTAGCTTGTCTTGTCAGTGTTGGTGGATATGCTTTCTCCTTTGTAATTCTTTGGTTAGGCTATTATTAACTGCCTAATTGTCTGAGTTCCTTGATCCAACACTTTGAAGTAATTCCTATTCAAGCATAGTAGTAATACTCATCTTTAGAAAAACATAGATATTCTTAACCAGCTTCAGATTTTCCTTGCTTACTAACTTCCTTACTAACTTAGCAACCATTTGAAGATGCCATGCTGAAAAAAATAAGTATGGCCAATGCCTGCATTTACAACCTTTGCAGTATCCCTTACTCACATGATTGCCATTACAGTGAGTACACATTGTCCTCTGCCTGACCTGAAGTTTTTCTTTCCCCTGTTGCAAAGGAGAAAGATTGGAAAGGAAGGGATAATAAGAGAGTAAGCAGGCATACAATGGGGTATTCACCAGACTGCACAGTGCTTTTGCAATTGCTGGCTGCAGCACATTGGTTTCAGTGTGTATTCCTCATTAAACCAACAATTTATTAGTGGCATAAATTTGAAACATTACAAAAATAAATGTGGATAATATACTTTTAAAAATGGAGTGTAGAACTGGAGAATCCTACTTTGAGCAGTGAATGACTTTAGCAAAAAACATATTTTATGGATTTATTGGACATTAAGAGTTGCTTGATGGCAAGATGGGCAACATGTGAATTTAATAAATAAATAACTAATCCAAGAATTAAAGGATGGCTGTCAGGTTTTCAATGTCAAATATGCAATAAATTTGAAGGAAGTTAGCTAGTCATGTTATGGGTGTGTTTTGTAATTCTTTTTTAGTTAGAAGTTATTATAATGAACCAGGAAGATGGCAGGCATTTACAAGACAAAAGCATCAGTAAATTAGTAAATCATGTACTAGAAATTTGAAATTTCTCGATTCATAAAGAACTTTTGATATATTGGACTGTTACAAAAAGGTGACTATTTACTCCTGAAATAAATGTTGTATGCCAGACTATAAAAGTTGTTTTAATGAAATTTGTCAACTTTCAGCCTTTGAATTAGCTTTGTATTGAAGAAGAGGTGAGACCAGACAATTTTCTATGTTCTTATGAATCATAACAAAGAAATAAAAACAACAAAATATGACCTTGACACTCCAACTGTCTGACATATTTGTTAATGGTGTTTTTGTGTGGGTTGATTATTTTTGTTTAGTTGCTCAATTGCAGGTTTTCCCTCCAACAGGCTTTTTAATCTATTCACTCTTTTAATTTCTCTCTCTTTTTTTTTCTTTTTAAAGATTTCCCACCCACCCCCACTGGTCCCCTCCGTGATGAAATGTTATTTGTTTGTCTGTTTTTATCCTGCTTTTATTATTTTTGTAAAGCACTTAAGGCAGCAAACATACCTTCATACTCCTTCCTCCTCCTTTCCCCACAACAACAACCCTGTGAGGGTGAGTTGGGCTGAGAGAAACTGATGGCCCAAAGTCACCCAATTGGTTTTCCATGCCTAAGGCAGGATTAGAATTCAGTCTCCTAGTTTCTAATCTGGTGCCTTAGTCATTTCTTTAGAGTAATTGAGACAGGGACATGGGGTAAAAAAATCAATATGATGCCTCTAGGGTGAATTATACTATCATCCAGCGCCTCTATAAGCTTCAAAGAAAAGATGCTGCTGCCAATTATACTATCATCCACCGTCCGTTCTCCGGGCGGTGGAAGAACGCTTATCGCAGTCCTTCATCTGTACCATCCGAGATGAACAAATATTGGTCAGCAGTTTTTGAGAGTTGAGTTGTGGAAGGAAGGGTGGTTTGTTACAAACTCCTGATTCTTCTCCTATATCAGGGGTAGGCAACCTGGGCTCTTTTATGACTCGTGGACTTCAACTCCCAGAATTCCTGAGCCAGTCATGTTGAGGGGAAAAGGAGAGATTTCCAAGCTGAGCCATGCTGGGTCAGGAATTCTGGGAGTTGAAGTCCACGAGTCATAAAAGAGCCAAGGTTGCCTATTCCTGTCCTATATTTATTTATTTATTTATTTATTTATTTATTTATTTGATTAAATTTATATACCGCCCTTCTCCCGGAGGACTCAGGGCGGTGCACAGCATATTAAAACAAATAACAATAAAATACCAGAATAAAAACCCCTCTAAAACCAAATTAAAAGCCAAATATTAGTAGCTGTGTAATAATTAAAATTATATTAAAATCATCCCTANGAGGTAACCAGGTCCAATGCCATGGAGCGTTTTAAAGGTGGTAACTAACACCTTAAAACGCACCCGGAAGACCACTGGTAGCCAGTGCAGCTCGCGCAAGAGTGGTGTTACATGGGAGCGACGAGTCCCTCCCATCACCGCCCGCGCGGCCGCATTCTGGACCAGTTGAAGTCTCCGGGTGCTCCTCAAAGGGAGCCCCTATATCATTGACCTGTCTAATAATAAATGATACCTAGTTTCTAGCCTGGTGCTTTAGTGTAATTGAGACAGGGGCACGGGGTAAAAAAATAATAATCAAGATGGTGCCTGTACTCATGCAATCAACACCCTGCTTCCATGAAGCATATAAAAAGGGGGAGAGTTTTAATTCTGTGGCTATTATGTTGACAGTGAGCATCGAAGGGGGGATTTTTTTTTATTAGATACTTATATGGTTTTTATGTAAGGTTGTTTATATATATATATACACACACACACACACACACACACACACACATACATTTAAAAAATTACAATTAACATTTCGTAAACTTAATTCTTTTTAAAGAGAAACTCTGATTTAGAGAATGAAATAAATAAATATCTGTTTAGAGAATTAAGTTGGTTTGAGGCTTAATTATGATATTTTGAAAACTAAGCCACACCTTCCTTCTCTCCCATCTTTAAAAGATGCCAGAATGTTTCAGATTAAAATGGAAAGTTACTATTTTTAATTTCCTTGATCATTTTTTTTACTTGATCTAGATGGAGCAGTTTTTAAAAAATCTATGTTTGTCTTTTTTTGTAGGCTGGGTATTGAAAACCAAAACTTACTTTAGCAGAAATTCTCCTGTCTTTTTACTGGGAAAATGCTACCATTTCAAGAGTGATGGTATGTGTACCTAATTTTAAATCCAAGTGGCTGCTGGTTTTTGTTCTTACATTTATGTAACTCATCTTTGCATTTCATTTTTGTGGGAGCTTCTGAAAATACTTGAGTATTAGATCAGTTCAGATATATGCATACCTCCTGAGGGGGGGGGACTGCAAAAGAAGTTGGAAACATACACAACTCCTTAAGGTGATCTCTGAATCTGTTCTGAGAAGGAAAAAAAGACTGTTGCTGTTTTGACAGTTCTTTCCCAAGAAAGTATTGTAGGGTTAAGACAGCTCTTATAATCAACTCAAAGCAGTGCTTTGTCTGAATCTTATTTATCTTATGAAGAGAAGAATATAGAAACTTTTAATAAGATCCTTGAACTCTGCTAAAATAACATGTCCTTGCGGTTTACTGAAAACTGTTTGTTTTATCATTCTTCCAGTGGCTGCATCTGTAAATGCTATTTTCATTTACAGTTATAGAAAATGACCTTTTCTTACAATAGGATGTACAATGTTAGTAAACTGGGGATAATGTGTTCCATGTTTTGATTTTTTTACAACATGTATGCGTGATGTCCCTCTTACAGGGCCCAGTGACCAATCACCAAATGGTTCCTGTGATGACATGACAGATGAAAGCTTTTCAAGAAACGTCGAAGAGTTCCGTAAAGACTTTATTTCTAGAATATGGTTGACTTACAGGGAAGAATTTCCCCAAATCAGGGGTTCAGTTTTAACCACAGACTGTGGCTGGGGCTGTACTTTGAGAACTGGCCAAATGCTTCTGGCTCAAGGACTTATTCTCCACTTTCTTGGTAGAGGTAAGTTACCAAGATTTGTGTGAAAGAAAGTGTTTATTCTCAAAAAAACAGTTGAGGAGGCTTCTCATATCAGAGTTTCTAACCAGGACTCTGAAAGAATTTAAGTATAAACTATTTAACTTCAGTTAAATCTTAGTACTATCTCATAGATATAATGCTAACTGTCTTGGTTAATATGAAATTATAAGGATAAAATATTTGACAATAATTACCATAATTTTTTTCTCTTGAATGCGTGTTTTGTGGCTGTTGTTACATTGCTGACTTAAGCTCCATATTATTGTACATTTATGCATTTAATTTCATTGAAACACTTATTGTAGAGTTGCTAAATTATCCATATGCAGCATTTGCTTATGGAATAACTAACTTTAAATATTTAATATGAAACAGGACAACAAAGAGGTAGAAATCTTCTTAAATAAGTTAATATCAGAACAAACTAACTTTCACTAAGCTATAATATGTTTTTAATCCTATCACAGATTGGATTTGGGCCAATGCCTTTGTCTTTGAGAATCCAGAGTCTGAATCATGGACAAGTCAGACAGTAAAAAAGCTCACGGCATCTCTTGAAACATCACTTATAGGAGAAAGAGAATTCAGGAGCCAGTCAACTCATCCTAAAAGTCCAATACGCAACCAGGGAACTGAAGAAAGTGTGGAGGAGCAGTATCACCGAAGAATTATCTCTTGGTTTTCTGATTCACCATTTGCCAATTTTGGCTTGCATCGGCTGATAGAATATGGAAAGAAGTCTGGAAAAATAGCTGGAGACTGGTATGGACCAGCAGTGGTAGCGCACCTTTTGAGGTAAAAACAAAACTCTGGACAGAACAAATTTGGTTTTAAAAAAATAGACCTTTAACAATGTGTTCTGATTATCTATAATTCGAGCATGAAAAAATGTCGCAGAAACATGAAAGTATGCATTACAAACGTAGCCTTTAACTACAGTATTTTTAATGATGTATTATAAAAACTAGCACCTCTTTTAACCTTGAAATATACCTACGTTGTAGACTTCGTGTTTTAATATACTGATAGTGTAATGAACTGTCAGATTAAACTGATACTTTCAAACATAATATATTCTCATGAGATGTTAAATGTATAGATTAGTAATAATTACATCTAAATAAAAAATAAAAGGGTCCGACATTCAGCCTAGTCTTTTTATATGAAAGTCAAATTTTTGAGTACAGATTGTGATTATATGTCATTGTTTTGGACAATATTTTTATTTTTATAGTTTTATGTTTTTCAATTTTACACAATCATCTAATGACAAGAATCTAAAATCCAGGTGTAATTTTAAATATCTGTGAAAATGCAGGGTGCGAATGGTTTTGTATAGCAAGAACAGTCTCCTTGAATGAAACTTTGGTAAAATAATGTAATGTCTAAGAGTTGAAGTTATTTATGTAGCCTGTTACATTTGTAAAAGTAACTAATGAAATTAGCACAGAAATTTGTTAACTGTTCTCCCACAGTTTTGGTTGATAATTTACATATTCAGTTATCATATGCTTTTGGACACAATTTCATTGGCCATTTTTTCACTGAAGGTCTGTTCTTTCCCTCTTCAACCTTAGAGTTAAAAATAAAAACTTGTGCTTCTATAACAAACAATTGTTTGTTATAGCAAATAGTATAACAAACCTATGCATAGTGACATGGAAGCCGTTAAAATCATAAATCCATTTATGGAAACAGGTTGTATGTTTAGATTTTTACCTTGGAATTGTTTCATTGATTGACTATCTTTGCTCTTATGTCTGTAGTATATGTATGTACGTATATATGTCCACTTTTTGTTTTTTTGTACATATATGGATGCAACATGATAAATCTAATAATGTATTGGCCTTTTTTAAAAAAAAAAACCTGTTTTCTTTTATCACATTTTACAGTCTAAATCACATGTGTTTACATTTGTAATCTTTTAAAGCTGGCTTTTCAAACTTTTGTGACTTTTTCTAAAAAACATTTCCTGAGGACTGTGTAGCTTTAATTCTTTTTGCGGCTTACCTGAAATGTGTCTGTTGTGTATACTTTTAGGAAAGCAGTTGAAAAAGCAAGGGACCCGGAATTACAAGGAATAACCATCTATGTTGCTCAAGACTGTACGGGTAAGAGAAAGTGTATTATGTACTTGATCGTTCTTCAAAATATTTCCCAAACTTTCATTGAGAGCCTAAAAATGTAATACTAAATCAAAGTTTCTTAGCTCAGATGAATAGCTTCTCCTGGTGTAAGGTTGTCTTTTAAAACTAGACTGGGAGTGTTCCATCTTATATAATTCTTAAAGAATTATATTCTTGCAGTTACAAACTTATAGTCTTGTAGACTTGTATATGGCCTAGACTACGAAGGGAAAAGTATATAATTAATTTACAGTTTTCTGTATCAAGCCATTACAAAATTACATCTGACAGAATTTTCTATTCAAAACATATTAAAACACTTTAAATAAATTCAGCAGGAACTTATGGTCACTTCAGTGTTTGACTGAAAAAGCTAGCAAATCTTTTGCTATTTTACTTAGGAAAGTAAAGTACATTAGGACAACATTAATCATTTAACTGGGTCATTGGGTGGAATGTTGCATGAACACCAACAGTGAGTTTATAGTGCCCCGAGGGCACTGATTTTAGCTCAAAACAGAGCTATGCCTGAACCCCTAGTGAACAAACTTCCCTGTGTCATCTACAGATCTTATGGAGTATTAACTATCCTTTATGACATCTGTGAATCACAAGGGGATTCCTGGAATTTAATATTTCTTTTTGCCTTCTGAAGGAGGCGCAGACCATTGGGTTAGCCCAATGTCTGGAAACAAGGCAACACATGTCGCCTTAAGAATCCTAAACAATGATAATTGCTGCATGGACTTCTAAGATTTTTTTAATAATATTTGAAAAAGAAATGTGACTGAAAGAATGTGGATGCATATTCTTATTTGCCTAGCAGGCTGTGCATGCTCTCCATTTCTTTAAAATCTGCCATAAAATGGTCTTCTAAACTCATTGGCTCTGTTTTGGACTCGTTCTTTTTTCTTGTAATATGTTTTTTTTTACTCTCGTGTCTTGCCTACATACAATAATTACGCTGCCAATTTTAGAGGTGAAATGTTTAATGCAGAATCCCAGCAGTATCTGCAAAGAATGTGGGTTGGGGGCCAAAGTCAGCAAGATTTTTTTGTTACAAATCAAACAACCCCGTCTCTTTTGTTTGTGGGTCGAAATTGCATGCAAGTACAAAAGGAATGGGCTTGTATAGCAACATTCATCTGCCATCTTGTCAGTCTTAACACACATACGCATGGTGCAGGCCTCTGCTAAAGCCATCACCGGTTGGTGGCATTTGTTGCATTTTCACACATCGGTCGGTGCACACCAATAAAGTGAAACAATAAGATGTTTTTTCTGCCTATAAATTTATCCTAAAAGATGTTTTGATATTCTTGACAAAACAACTTGGTTTGCACTTAAAATGCATTTCAATAAAGCTTGCTTACTTTTGTTTCTCTTTCAAGTTTACAAGTCTGATGTTATTGATGCTCTTTGCCCTTTCACGGATTCTGAAAAGACAAGTGTCAAATCTGTTATTATATTAATTCCCGTCAGGCTTGGTGGTGAACGGACCAATATGGAATACTTTGAGTTTGTGAAGGTATGAAATGAGTCAGTCACTTTTCAGAGTGGGACATTAAATGGCAAGAAGATTGAAAGTGGTAATTAACCTATTAATAATTGAAATTTCAGTATACGGTCATGATTGAAAATCCTAAGTATTAAATCCTGTACTAAGTATTAAAAGTAAGCTAGTACAGCTATTCCAGACCCTAAATAGCTATCTTCCTGCTACAGAGTTCACCATAAAAACTGAACTTGCTTCACACTTTTTGGTGATTCCTTCAGAGATCAGATAGCTTCCAACTTTTTTTTTTCATAAATTGTAAAGATTATTACTTCCAATAACATCAGCAATGGGCCATCTCTGAAACTGATGCTTCCGTTACCTCTTATCTAGTTCTAGATTTGGGGCTTATTGAAGGATAAAGACCACTGTGTGCATTTAGTAGGTACACAGATTCGTATTAGAGCTTTGGTAAAGTGTTTTGCTTCTTGAGTCAAGCATTTGGGGATAGAGGGCAAATTAAGTTAGAAAACTATTGGTAGTGAAAAAATAGGGGATTGTACCCTTCTTTCAGTGTACCTGGTCTTTTTAATTATTTGCCTTACTCTGACTATAAGTCTAAGTTCTTTACTATATAGGTAGTTCATATCCTTCTGTCAGTTTATTTGTAGACTTTCTTATCTCTCCTGCAACCCCGTCCCCCCCTTATCCTTTGAAAAAAGAGGTCTAAAAATGAATTTGAAAAATAATTTATCCTTGCCCTGTAAAAATGCTCCAAGCCAGTTGAGGCCTAAGGATAGAGAGTGCACAGAAGCTATGTCAGCAGGCATTCTTCTGACTTTTGAATCTCCTTGGAAGGGTTTAATATCGGGGTGTGACTCTTTTGTACATTGTCCAGAATTCTTGAATGTGCTTTAAATATTGTAAATAAACATACAGGGAAGAAGAAAAAAACACTCTTCACTTTCGTTCTCACATAAGAAGCCATGTCATTATTCATGAGTTGTTGAAGATGCAACAGGAAAATACAACAAGAGCCATTTGGCAGAATCTAAGAAATTATAGCATTTTCTATCATTTAATAACTATCATGTAAGACAAGGAGAGCTGTAACACTCACACAATTACAGCATATTTTGCATATGTTCATATTTTGCTTGATAATTATAAGCACCAGGAAAACCTAATATTCTAATAAAATTTGTTTCAAAGGGTCAAGTTAGTTGGTAGAAAGCAATTATGCCAACTGAAATAATTTGGATTTTTAGTCTTTTTTTAAAAAAGAAAAAGAAAATGTGGACATATTCTGTTAAATGAAAGCAAGACAGCACATATCTAAAGAATCTTTTGGTTCTTTAGGAACAGGAAGTCTGGAATTAGAAGAATGATAAGGCAGACAGAAGTTGTAAGAATGCCATACTCTTTTTTTTGTTAGCATTCCGTAGGATAATAATTAAGGAATGAAGATGGCGACGAGGAGAATGGAAGGACAGGGTGGAGACAGATTTAACAGATGCTAGATCTTTCTCATCTATAGCCTGCAAAGATAAAATGGACTTCCTTTTTTGATTAATAGCTAGTACAGGGGCCAGAACTCCACAGATTCTTGGGCTAACAAATCTCTATTTTATGGTCTTACCCTAGGGCAGGGAACTGCAATCTTGACAATGCTGTCCACAAGTCTTAAAGTTGTCAAGGTGGCAGACCCCTGCCCTAGGATGTTTTCTACGATTTCCTGTTGCATTGAAAAAGGTGCAATCCAGAGCTTATGCATGGAGGATTTATTGTTCCCTTTTGTAAAAGATTCTATTTATACATAGGCATTTGCATATTGAATACTTCATTATTCTTTATCAGCTAAAAATAAAGAGTTCATGTTTGTGCACTGAGGGATTTGCAAACAGCTTGCATTGTTCTAAAATCAAAGGCCACAGGTCTAAACTTGTTACATTGCAATCTCCTGCCATAAAAGTCTAAATTTCAGTTAATCTACTCTTATAAAACAGGGAATTTTGAGCCTTGACTACTGCATTGGCATTATCGGAGGAAAACCTAAACAGTCATATTACTTTGCTGGATTTCAAGGTTAGTGTTTTAATGTGTGTGTGTGTGTGTGTGTGTGTGTGTGTGTGTCTCCCCCTCTGTCTCTGTTCCAAGACCTTTGGAGTTATTATAAGCCCCTGCAGAAAGAAAAATGATTAAAACAGCGGAGATTTCTTTATTAATTTATCAGACCTACCAAAGTCCAGTCATTTGTCATTTACCCCACGTTATAATTAGATTCTGTAAAAATGTATATTTAATTTTCTTTTGTTGCACAAACAAGGCATAATTTATCTCTTCCATCAAACTCCCTGAGCCTTTTCCTTGCTTACTACCTGGCAGATCCTGGTTACGTATTTATCCTTTAGTAGTTTAAATGGTGCAAATTGATGACCAAATGACAAGCAAATATGTTCTTCTTGTCACGATGAGGAAATACGATGCATTTTTCATAGGCAAAATCAAGGTATATAATTGTGTGTTTGTAAAAGTAATTTTATCTCCAAAAATTAAATGACAGCCTTATCGCTTTATCAAAATTCTGCTTCTACAAGCATATTTGATTATGCAGAAGTTAATCCGCCCTGCAAAAACCTCAGTCAATGAATATACTCTGGCAGACAGTGACTTGCTAAGGGGACTCTTATCCCCCCCCACCTCCTCCTGTTCTGCATAGAAATTGGATTGTAAGCAGTGTAATAATATGGTGTTTTTTGAATTACTTGTCTTTTGTTTTGCCCTTGTAGATGACAGCTTGATTTACATGGATCCTCATTATTGCCAGTCTTTTGTAGATGTCAGCGTAAAGGATTTCCCCCTTGAGGTAGGATGGATAAAGAACAGCACTGTTTGCTTCATGGGTGAACCAAACACTAATTATTAAATCATCCCTTCCACCTCCTCTTCCTGTTAAATCTAGAGTACCCCCCCCCCCAAAAAGATCTACCTCTGTCAAATGCTGATCCTTTATATATAATATCAAATACACCTCCATAGTTTTTTGGGAGGTTGCCTGGCTCACATTTTTAACTTGAGAGAATCCCACCTCTTAAAAGGAGTCCGTTTGTTGTGTTAGCAGCACAGTCTCTGTCCCGTGACTTTCCTCCTCTGGGCTAGTTTGTACTGTACTGCAGTTAGTAGAGTTTCAAATGTTGGATATCCAATTGCACTGCAGTAGAAATGAGAGTCTTCCCAGGTGTTTGACACAAATATGTTCATAAATGTTTAACCCAAAGTCAAATGCTTCAAGTGCTAATATGACTTTAATAGGAAAGCTATTTCTTTCTCGCAGGTAACAAAGATGCTCAGTAGAAGGCTGGAAAGTACTAGGCAAGCAGTACTACCTGCTGAAGTCTCCAAACAAAGCTATAGATATGCATTAATTAATTGCTAGATTTTATATGTTGCTTCCATTCATTGCCCCCAGACTAGTAGTTGCTGAGGTTATACATTAAATGTGCAGGCCTCTGTTATGCAGAGATCTTTGACCTATGGGAGTAGGCCGTGAACAGATGGGACTGAGAGTCTTGTATATATTGTGTTCTTTGAAATGTGTATATATTTGTGGGTGTATTTGTACAGGGAAAATTGTACAAGATTGGCTTCTGATTCTACTTCATAATTTTTGCATAGAAAGATGGTCTGCTTTTAAAAGTAAGACCCTGTGTGGAACTTCACTTAGATCTTATAGTGGTGCTGATGTATCTCCTTGATACTATGCCTCGGAGAACTGTCCCTGATTATGTTGCCAGCTGTTCTAATACTCTTTGCAGTGAATTTTAAGTTCTAGGGCAATCCTGATTCTCTCTTTGAAACTAAAGAAATGGACTCATCTCATTTGATCAACTTAAGTTTGTCCTTCAGTTGTTTGTAGCTTTTCAAGCTTACACATTTCCACTAGAAAACTTCATTGAATTAAATTGCACAATTGCCTTTTAATTTGAATGTCATAATGAGATATATCAAATTAGTCTGCCAACTGTTGAGTTTTTCAGATATTTTTGAAATCATCTCAGCTTCTTCTGTGCCACAGTTATGAAATGGCTATCTAAACTTTTTGAGAAATGAAGACAAAATGCTAATTTAGTTTGTTTTTCAGTGCAAGAAATCTCTCTGAAACGGGATAGCATTTGATCACATAGTGAAGCAAATTCTAAACTGGCTAAAATATTCAAATATCTTTCTAGAAGCAAATTAGTTTTCCTATTGCAGGCTTGTGGTACTATGTCAATTGTACATTGTACAGATGGAAAGTATAGGTTATTAATATAATTTTCCAGTCACCCACTACATTAAGTGACTGATCCAAAAACATATCAATTAGTAGCAATTATTATTACTACATATTAATAATGTAACAGTAACGTTACACAATGAGAAACTAATTTGATTTCTGTATATGCAGCGTTTCTCTTACTGTGCTAATTGTTTTTTTAAAAATTCTATTTTCCAATTCACGGTAATTAATAGCTTCTCAAAAAAAAATCTCAAAATGTCCTTTAGGAAGTTTGCCACTCCATTAGGAAATCTTTGCTGGCTGCTGTGCTTTTAGTCCAGTATTCTAATTCAATACTGCCTTTACTGATTGACTGAATCTCTCTGGGATTTCAAATAAAAGACCTCCAGATTCCATTCCCCCCCTTTCATAGAGAGGAGAATGTGGAGTGGGCCTTAAACATCTTGTACTGGAAACATTATCATTGATATCGAGCATTAAAATAACAAAGTTTGCACATTTAAATGGGGACTGAATAAATGGAAGACAAATGGGGAAAAATGAAGCAAGACATACACTCTGAATAATTCTGTCAACATGTCTGTTCCCCCACCTCAATGTAATCCCACATTGTAGGTGGCTGAAATATTATTTGAGAAGCAAACGGAAAGTAGCATAACTTTTTTTCTCCTGTTGAAAGCCTAACCTTCATCTGTTGCATATAAATATTTGCTAACCGACCAGGGACATTTGTGTCATAGGTCTTCTCTGATGCTTATTAATCATTTAAAAATATTATATGTCACTTGCAGTCTTTCCACTGCCCTTCTCCAAAGAAGATGTTATTTAAAAAAATGGATCCAAGTTGCACCATAGGATTGTATTGTCCTGACATGCAAGGTTTTGAAAGGGCTGCTGAAGAAATAACTAAGGTAAATGTTTAGATGAAGAAACCAACGTAATTCCCATTTGCTCGGTTGTATTTTATGCTATCATTTCAATTATACCAGTAGAACTTAAATTGCTGCCCTAGTACGGCCAAACCACTACCCAAAAATAACCTCGTCTCAATGGCTTGTTGTGATCCTGTTAAATTGTTGCAGTTAAAACCTTCAAAAAAGAGTTAGAAATGTCTCAAGCAAAGGATTCAGCAACAAGCAGAGCAACTGTAGCAAAAATTAATATGTTTGCAGAGCATTATGTCTTATTGAAATTTTACTATATTTTAAAGTGCACTTTGAAGTGACTGTATTATGACAGAATATGAATGTAGAAGATATTTTATCCAAGTTAAATTATTTCTGATACCGTAAGATAGTCTTTCCTAACATGGTACCCTCTAAATGTCCTGGAGCTGCAAGTCTCTGAATTCTGAGTGTTCTGGTTCTAGCAAATCTATGAGTAAAACTGGTTTAATTCAATCTTTCTCCCTCACAGTCAAGTAGAGGTTTATCCCACCAGGTGGCAGCATTTAAACAAAAATATATCTATTAAAAAAATCCCTTTTCCAGTCATTAGAGCCTGAAGAAGTATATTGTGACAATCAATTTCTCTGGGAGGATTTTAAATGGAAATATTAAATCAAATAAATTGTAGATTATTTCTTCATTAGTTGAAGTATGTTCATTACACTTACACTTTAAATATCATTGTGGTGTTTTAGCGCCATGTTAAAGGTAAGTATTTCCCAGAACCACATAAGCATTTGTTTTAGTGCGTTCGAAAAAAAATTAAAATAGTTTTACTTAAGACACAGAAAGAAAGCTGCTACTATATTCTTGCAATAAAATATTTCATTTTCACTTTATCCACACTTTTTCATATCTACTAATCTCTTCATTTTCCTCAAGCTGTCCTATATGATTTATTTTGCCCAATTGTATTAGAGAATTCTGGGCCGATTAAATGGACTTTAATTTTGTACTTTTATTTTCTTCTTTCAGCTTACATGGTATCACTTCTATAAAATTCAGAGCTATTATGTTTACTTATTTATTAGATTTGAGGATTAAGAAGCCAAATTGCAAAGGTCAAAATAATATACTATGAGTACTTTTTAGTATCTCAGGCCGATTCAGACTTGCTTTTTAAAATTATTTGATATTCAAATCAATATTTTGTCAAACCTGGGGGGGGGGGGAGTAAAATGTATGCTTTAAAAAACAGTTGGAAAAAAACCAGGTAAAGTTATTTTTAACTTTTTAAATAGAACTTCTTGGGGTGTAGGGAGGTAGAGAAAAGGCCTATTTAGGGCTGGAAAGTTCATTATTGAGATGACATTTGAATTAGGGACTTTAAAGCTTATAGTTTGTACTGGCAGTCAAACTCCCACTAGCTTTCATATATGAGAATTCTCTCTCTCTCTGGAAGGGAGCAACATTTAAAATTAGTTTTCCTCAGATTTTTTTCCCCCATGTTATTTCTAGTTTTCTGGTTGGAGAATAACAGTTTATATACGATTCATTCTAAAATCGTCTCTGTGTGAGAAAAATAGCTGTATTAGAAACCAGCCATTGATCAGGAATATAGAAAGGTCTAATTTTATTAAGGAGTGCCTTAATAAAAGAAAAATTATTCTACAAGTGCAAAAACATCAGATCTGGGTTTATTTTAAAGTAATCATAGCCACAGCTAGGACCGTGTTCTCATCCTGGGGGACACATTTCTTTGCTTCATTTTTGAAAGCCAGGTTATAGCCTGGATATTTTTAATCCAGAGAAAATCAGAGCTATGTGCCAATGTTCGGAGAATGTCAAAAAGAGATCATTAAGGGGGTTTTCTGTTGGGTAAATGAGTTTCACATCATTGGTGGTTTATACACTGTCACGTATCTTAAGAGCCATCAGTATAGGGAGAATGAAATATAAGTACATTTATTTCCATAAAAACAGCTACTGAATATTGCACTGTCCTAAGTTGCCATACATTTTCTTTAAGCTTAATATTTATAGGATAGAGTAATTAAATGAAGAAAGTAGAAACCTCATGTTGTGACTCGGATAGCATGTATTGCTAGAATAAACTCAATTTACATTGTCTGGCTAAGTGATCTGTAATGTGGCAGCTATCCCTGATCAAAGAGTAACGTAGTAGTGAGACACTTACTAGGTGGCGGCTGTCAAGTTATAAGACACCTGTCAATTAATAGGAGGGGTTAGCCGCCAGCTAATTTCACAGGCTACCAAGCAGGCATCAGAATGCCATGAACTTTTGTTATTGATGGGAGCTGAATTGATCCAGTAGCCAAGCAATAAAAAGTCTGTACCTAATTATCATGTCCCTTGAGATCCTTTGCCATCAACTGCCACCTTAAAAATTTCCCTTTCCGATTCTCCTTTTTATTCTTATTCCTCAATCCTGCTACTACTTCTGTATTATCTGGAGGATACGATTCAAGAAGAGTAGAATGAAGTTTAAAACTGCAGAGCCCAATAAAATTCATAGAATCGGATTTTACTTCAGACAATTTTCCAGGAGCATGTTGGTTCCCTCTAAAACATTTTATCCCATTTGAATAGTTCGATTTTTTTCAATATGCCAGATTAATATTGCTGTTAATATTTTTCCGATATAGATTTAACCAAACCCTTATGCACTTTATCTGTAGACTAATTTAGTTTTATAAGATATTGAAACCATTTATGCAATTTAAATTATTAAAATTCTAGCAACCTCCAAAGCCGATGCAGAATAGTAAATATGAGACAAAATATTGTTGATTCAATTTTGCCATGCCCAAGAAGTGATTAAATGTTGCCTTTAATGGGAAATATTTGTTGACTTCATTGTCATTATAAATATGGCTTACAGTGTGCACTTTGCTGAGGAGGAACATGAAATGAAACAAAAAAATTGAAAGGAAGATGTGCATTAAACGATTGTGCGTTTTGCTTCAAACTGATATGCTTAGACTCTTGGCATCGGTCTTCTAATTCATGTTCTTTTTTCCAATACGTTTCACTGTAGATTTTGAAATCCTCGTCCAAAGAGAAATATCCCTTGTTTACTTTTGTAAACGGACATTCCAGAGACTACGATTTTGTGGCGAGTCCAGTCCAGGAAGAGAAGACAATGTTCTCCGAAGATGAACACAAAAAGTTGGCGTGTTTTAACAATGAAGACTTTGTCTTGCTATGAGGACATTTTTATTTATTCATTGAAAATGATTTTATGCTCAGTCTTCACAGATGCTACAAAATAGTTTAACTAAAAGCTACAAGCAACATAAACACAATTAAAAGTAATTAATAAAAACTTGTGGCAATAAGCAGTAGACTACCAAGGACTATCATCAATGATCAGTTTTTCAAAACTTGTGTTTTGATTCCCAGCAAAGGGAATCCTAGAGTTTAAGACTAGGACCACTGCCCAGTAATCTTTGCTTTGCATAACCATGCACAATACTTCAGTTGGGAAGTGACACAGAATAGACACTCAGTGGTGATTCAAGTCTAATCTGCAAGATTAGAATCATCAGGTTTTTCCAGCAGTTGAATTCCAGGAGATATTAAGCCCAAACTGTCCGAAGTCCGTTAGTCTAAGTAACAGAAAAAAAGTAAAAAAGATGGAAAATTGAACAGGAGGAATTCCTTATATGAACAACATAAAGCCATATCGCATGGAACCTTTAATTAAATATTAGCTTTAATTGATAAAAATGTAAGGTTTACCAAACAAAGCATCTATTGGCATATAATTAATAAGAACAGATTTGTAATTAATATGTCAAAAAGCTTAGGAATTAGTAATTCTGTTCCTGGTGGTTAAAGGAATAAACTAAAAGGAACCCAGAACCTGTACTGTGAAAGGCTAATTAAACTTGTGAAAGACGATAAAAGACAACGTTGAAGGTCTACAGTGTTCAGTGTTGATGTTGAGCTCAGGCACATCTTAACAATTTGCTCATCGTAGTAGTCAAGTTTACCCCATTCTAAGCATACTTCATAAATTGTACAGCATCTTCCATACATTTGGTTTCTGCACCAGACGTCTTTGACCAGTGCTATCACACAGCAGGAAAAAGGGATACACCATATATATATAGCAACAGGTATGTTTCCTGGCCCAGGGGCATTAGAAAGTCAATGCCCTCTGGAACGAACTACCCCCCGAGATTCGGATAATTCCGGATCTCCTTACCTTCCGTCGCGCCCTCAAGACATGGCTCTTTCAGCAAGCGGACCTGACCTAGGGTGGATTTTATACTGGGTTTTTTTTAGGAATTTGGAAGACACAACTTTAAATTTAGTTTAATTCGGTTTTAAGGGGGGGATTGTATATATGTTTTGGTTTTAAGTATGTTGTGCGCCGCCCTGAGTCCCGCCGGGAGAAGGGCGGCATATAAATTAAATTAATTAAATAAATAAATAAATAAATAAATAAATAAATAAATAAATAAGAAGGGCCTCAAGAACCTCTGATACTGTTAGGGCAAGTGACTTAAGGATAGATGTCAGTTCTGAACTGTCCTACCTACTGTAGTGTATCTCTAATCCTATAGTCTGCATATAACTGATATAACCATTTTACAGTGTTGCTTTGCAGATCAACACTGAGCTGCATGGATTTCCTTAAAGCAGTATAGCTACTGCTTTGGGGACCATCTGTCCTAAGAGTGCACTTCTGTAAAAAATATGCTAGGATGATCATTTTAGCTAATAGGTAGTAGCATTTAGATGTATCAAAGTGACCACTGTGGTACTGTATCCACCTACTCCAATAGATTCAGCGAAATGGTAGCAAAATATTCAATATATCTATTGAATATTTATGTTCTGAAAGAATCAAATATGTTTTAAAACATTTTAAAATGTATATAGCAACATTTTATTAGTAGACAAATATAATGGCAGGCAATAAAAGGATACTGAGCTTATTGAGATATGGTTAATTGTTGATGCTTTGGGCTTGTTCTCTCATATTTCCAGTTTTCCCACAATTTCTATTTTAAATTTGGATCAATTCTTGACTACAAAAGGATTCATTGCAATGCGATTATCTTTCTACTAAGGTACACGGGGTATTTTAAAAATATTTTTGATAATGCTTGATAAGCAAGAACCTAGGACTGAAGTATTCCAAGGACCATGATGTGATTCAATTGATCCTCAATTAATTAATTTAAGACAAGGGAATTGGCTGGTTTGTAAGAGAGCATACAGTTTGTTGGGAACCAATACTTAGAATGTTTTGTTAAAAATCTAAGCTTAATGTGCATAAAGAACAAGGGAATCAAAATATTACTGTTATTTTGTGTCAATCCCTATAATGTTTAATGGATGTAATCATGGAATTCTAGGCAGAGTATTGTGGTTAAATGTATTTTTACTTTTTACCAGTGATGCTTTTGTAATTGTAAGCTGAAGAGTAAGTAAAGGTTGTTATTTAACAATATGATTTTATAATGACTACTCATTACTGTTGTAATTGAAATTTAACAAGAAATTTTAATATAATATTGGCCCAGTCCTCTCATTTTGCTGCTGTTAAACTATAGCCTATAATATTGGATACAAATAATGATTGGATGGGAGTTTTGCTTATTTTTTTACCTCCAAGTGCAATTTGGGGGGAGCGGACCTGGCAGGTATCACCGAGACCTGGTTGGGCATAGAAGGGGGAGTTCCCCTTGTTGATCTGTGCCCACCGGGTTTCCAGGCATTCCATCAGCCGAGGGCCTGGGGTAGGGGCGGGGGGGTAGCGGTCATTATAAGGGAGAGCCTGTGTCCAAGGGAGGCCACTGTGCCTCAGATAGACGGTGCAGAGTCCCTCCTTGTGAAGTGGGGGCAAGGGGTGCAAGTGGGCCTGTTGATAA